TTAGTAATTGAGGAGAAAACTTTTTCCCCAAAAGGAAAAGAAACTGTTGCTATAAGTTCTTAAAAGTGTTAGCTGGAGTTCAACTTTAATTTGTTAGCCAAGTCTGTCTAAATCTGCTAGTGCATCTAACACTACTTCCCCCAAGACTGACAGCGCCGCTCTCCAAGGATGGCTCTGTTGCTCCTCTATCCAGAGTGGAGACACCCTAAGACAGTGTGTTACTGGCAGAATCACCAGGTGAAATAAAGGGGGAAAAAAGCCTAAAATCGAGAACAAATGCAGCCATGACATTTATGGTTTGGTAAGCTACAATATAATACATTTTTGTTTTTAAATTTAATACTGCTTTAAGCTCATTCTTTTTGAAAGTTTCAGTATAGTTTTTGCCCTTGTCTGGGGAAAGGGAGGGGTGGGAGATGGAAATGGGGAGAACCTGCTCTGGCAGGGACCTTATGGTTAAAACCAAAAATTTATTATATTGCAGCTTACCAATCCTTAGATGTGGTGGCTGCATTAGTTTTCTTTATTTTAGACTTTTCCCCTCTGTTTTCACCTGGTTATCTGGTCAGTAACAGACCCTCCTGTATTAGAGTGCCTCCACTCTGGATGAAGGAGCACAGGGGGCACAGCAGCTGGCAGCACTGTAAGTCTTTGAGGCAGGGAGTGTTAAATGTGCTAACAGATTTAAATAAACTAACAAATAGAAGCCAAACTCCAGTTCACACTTTGTAATAATTTACAAACAGTTTTTTTTCCTTTTGGGATAAACGTTTTACATGATTAATAAAAACTGATCTTTGTAAACATCCCTGCCAGTGTTACATGGTTTGTCTCATCCATGTAAACTGATACATCTGGAAGAGAGCTTGTGCTTTTGGAAAACAAAAGACTTACTGGTTGGATCACCAGATGAATATTGAAGAAAGAAAGCCTAAAAAGAAAACTAATGCAACCATCACATCTAAGAATTAGTAATCTGTTACTCTGCTTGGCATGATCTGTCCATGCAATCTTCAAACAATATTGTTCCTTGTGATAAATTCCACCATCTGTGTTAATAATCTAGTTCCATACACAGTGATTCCCACCACCATTCATATATGCGCTCACCATTAGGTGTGACCTGAATGCAACCAGGTCAAACGCTTTCCCCAACCTGGGGCAGATCTCAGATGTTGCTCCACTGTAGCTGGATATCCTCCATATCATATAGAATGCTTTCCACTTGCCTGGTGTGGCCCTTCAATTCTCCACTATCAATTCTGCAACCAAGCTCATGCAACAGAGGATGCCATCATGTGTAGTATGTTGTGAAAACACATTTTATTAAAGGTATTGCACTTACATTAAAAGACTGATTACAAGCACAAACTGTGGCCATGGCTCTTGCATCACTTCTGGTCTTGGGACTCGGCACCTGGCTCCGCCCAACGCGTGTCATCACGGCCACGTGACTTCTTCAGGTTCTTATTCAGTCGCCATATATGAACCGTGTGGGAGTCACTGTGTGATTATTAACATGGATGGTGGAATTTATCACATAGAACAATATTGTTTGAAGATTATTATAATTTATAAACTGGGACTATGCACAAAAATTATTAATTGGAGTATTTTCATATCTGTTGTTTATTCACATTTATTAGTGGATCACAGCTGTGTTATTGCACCATATTATTGATTAGGAAAGGTGCAACCAAAATATTTATTTTTGTATATGTATTGGGGGTTGATTTACTAAAACTGCATGGTGCAAACTCTGGTGCAGTTCTGCATAGAAACCAATCGGCTTCCAGGTTTTATTGTCAAAGCTTAATTGAACAAGCTGAAGAAGCTTGGAAGCTGCTTGGCTACCATGCACTGCTGCATTCTGAGTGCTCCAGTTTTAGTAAATCCCCCCCCCCCCCCATATGATCATAAATATCTAAAAATAATGTCCAGAATAGAAGAAAGTTAGCATTTCCGGATGGCTGCAGCACCTCCAGAAGGAATTAGATATTGTGGAACAATGGTATGCAATCTAACTAGGCAGCTATAAATTTGCTCCTTTTTAGCACTGGGATTAATAGAGCTCCTGCTGTACTTCTTGGGCTACCCAGGTGTGCGCACTGCAGGTCTCATAGACTGTAGCGCTCCAGTCATGTCTTTGCCTGCCTCTCTTCCATTCACAACATAGTTAGCCCCAAGCTTTGATTTGTAAATGGCCAAGAAGAGTGGGAGTATAGGAGACCTGCAGCGCTTGTGTCTGAGCGAACAGGAATCACAGCTCTACTAATCCCGGCATGTGAAGGTGCAAATTTGATAGATGTATAATAAAGCCTGCATCACAGGAGGTTCCTTTTTAAAGTGAAGTTTATTTGCCTAACCATGAGAAGTTTATTGTGCCCGGAGTTGGGCTTTAAGCCAGTTATTTATTAAATGTACTTCTTGAGATGCAAATAAAAACCTGCTTTTATCTTTGGTTTTTCGAATATTTTATTACACTGAGCTATTTTAGGTAGTTTGGAGCCATTGTTGGGTTGTTTTTATAAAACCATCTGGCAATGATAATGTGCAGCAGTGGAAGTAAATAAGGGGGGCATTTATAAAACCTGTGCTGTGTATTATGGATCCTTCATTATTATTTTATGGTTTCTGCTTTTTTTATATAAATATTACATATTTCTTTGGTAAAGCGCAGAAATTGCTCAGTTTTCAGCCATCACTGGTTTTTATGAACTAACCAATTAAATGCCACCATTTTCCTTCTTGGCTTTGATTGGCATGCGGTTGGCTTCTGGCCTTCCATTGTGATTGCAGCTAAATACCAAGAACACTGCCGCAACCATCAGAACTTATTTGTGTTCCTGACACTGGGGGAAAACTGATGACATTACAGGAAAATCAAATATTTTAGCCCTTGTGGTTTTTAAAGACCTGTTTCATATCTCAGCCGGGATTGCAGTTTGCAAGTTTTGTCAGTTATGAGTTTCCAGAAAAGTCATGGACTCGAATTTGCAGGATCTTTTCCTCAGTAAACTGGATTTTTACAATTGAATTTGCAGTATGAGGATAATGGGGCTGAAGGTGTTACAGAGACAAGCGTTTTTCTTTAATACCGGTGTGTATGGTTAGTTGGCAGTGAACTCCTCAGACACTCTACAAATGTTTGTATGGCTCCTTTAAAATGAAGAGAGAATTATGGAGTGAGTGTACAAAACACCAAGTTTATTACATTTCAGTATTCATTCTGAGTTTCATCAGTCTCTAGAATGAATAAAATCCTATGGTAAAGCTGAGCTCCAACTCCAGGTAGATATAAAAAAAACATTATATAAATTAATGCATTTCTGTAACCATGAATTCATTATTGAAATGTTTTAATTGATAGCAGTGTATGTGCCCAAATTAAAAAATTCCTGCCTCAGCCCAGATCATACACTGTAGATCTAGACCAGTGGTGGGCAACCTTTTTTTTCAACTGAGCCAAATCTCGCCAAAACCACGATTGAAATTTATTTTGAGAGCCACATTTTTAAAACTGAAAATTCATCCCCCATATAGTAATTCATCCCCCATATAATTCATTAATTCACCCCCCATATAGTTATTCATCCCCCATATAGTAATTCATCCCCCATATAGTAATTCATCCCCCATAGTATTCATCCCCCATAGTAATTCATCCCCCATATAGTAATTCATCCCCCATATAGTAATTCATCCCCCATAGTAATTCATCCCCCATAGTAATTCATCCCCCATATAGTAATTCATCCCCCATATAGTAATTCATCCCCCATAGTAATTCATCCCCCATAGTAATTCATCCCCCATATAGTAATTCATCCCCCATATAGTAATTCATCCCCCATAGTAATTCATCCCCCATATAGTAATTCATCCCCCATAGTAATTCATCCCCCATAGTAATTCATCCCCCCTATAGTAATTCATTCCCCATATTGTGTCAATTCACTTACCTTTGCTCCGCGCGCGTCCCTCTCGCCGTGTTCCCGCGCCGTTCCGGTCTTCAGGGCGGACTGTGAGAGGAGAGGAGTTCGTCACGCTGCCCCGCCTACATCCTGACAGCCAATGTTTGCCACGCTCCGCGGGCCGGATTAAAAGGTCCGCTGGGCCGTAGTTTGCCCATTGCTGGACTAGCTGCAGAGTCCTGACTTTTGGGGCGGCCGCCCGAGAGGAGGGAGGGGAGCGGCGCCCGGCACACAGAAGAGCCGCATTGAAGTGTGTAAAGAGCCGCATGTGGCTCGCGAGCCGCGGCTTGCCGACCACTGATCTAGACTAATACACAGAATGCCTGCATAACTCCAACCCATTTCCACCCATTTGTTCCTCTTTCCTCTGGGCTGCAGTGAACACATAAGGTCACACTACTATTGTTTATGTCAGATTTATCATTCTGACACAAGGTCACACAGACATTGAAACCTCTAGCAGTTCAATGCACATGTCTATCTCTGCCCCTGTAGGTGAGAAATCATTTGGCAGTTGGCAAGCTTTGAAGTATCTAAAGATCCTTTTACATGAATGATCTGATGGGACCCTCCATTCAGCTCTATGGACCGAGCGGGTATAAACAGACTTTGTGTCCATTTACACTCCCTTACCTCCATCTAGGCAGATCGGATTGGATGACAATCGGGTGTAAACAGGCAGCGGACTCTGTTTACACCACTTGTCCATGGAGTAGAGCAGGCTTGGTCTGTGTATGCTCTGCTCAGCGGAGGATCATCTGACAGATCCCCTGGTGATCTAATCGGGGTATGCCCGTGTGAAAGGGTCTTAGGGCACCTTTAAGAGGATCTGTAGTGAACATTTATTTTTTGCCTTTTTTTTTGGATATTGAGTGGATTGATTGATTACTTTTCCTGACAGCAGTTAGCAGAAAGGCAGAAGATGTTTACTGCCTTTTCTTCTTAAAAATTAACATGCAAATACAACAGAAAATGGCGATCTGATGAATTTGTGTACTTTAAATATCAAATTCACTGCTATGGGGGCACAAACTACTGCATAGGAATGTCCTCATTGTTGGGGGGGGGGGGGGGAAGAGACACAAAGACACAAACTACTGTGGGGAGATGCCCCCATGATGGGAGGGGCAGAGACAAAAACTACTGTGGGGAGATGCCCCCATGATGGAGGGGCGGAGACACAAATTACCATACAGAGATCTCACTTTTGTGGGAGGGGCAAAGACACACTACTGCATTAATATCTCCCCACCATTGTGGGAGGGGTGGAGATGCAAACAGGAAAATCATACCACTTTTGTAACTGTGGGACACAAACCCCTGTAGGGAAAGTTCCCCATTGTGGGAGGGGCAGAGACACAAACTACTGTAGGGAAATCTCCCCATTGTGGAAGGGGCAAAGACACAAACTACTGCAGGGAAATATCACCATAATGGGATAAGCAAAGACTCAAACTACTGCAGCAAAAGAAAGCTCAATACCAACATTTTAGAGATATTAATAAAACAATTCAGAGTGCCATTGACCACTCCATGCAGTAATATTCCTTTTAGGTGGAGACAACAATAAAATGCATTCTGTTTTCTGGTTAAAATCAAGTAATCTCCCCAGATGGGGATGAAAATTTTACAAAATAGAACACTTAGACGTGGAGGAATTACAAACTTTGTGAGTACCGAGTACCGGCTGTGGTTAAGCCTTTTAAACACAGGCATACATGAGGGCCTGTTTTATTGCCGGCAAATGGCAGACTTGTGAAATATTGTCTGGGTTAATAGACTTCCTAGTGAAAGCTGACAAAGGCGGCTCTTAGAAGAACTTTCTAAAAAATTGTCACAGCACAGCTTGTTAATTTCCCCATTAACAGCTCTATTTGCATTGTTTTGTAGGGCAACTTGCAGATTCATCAAGTCCACGTGGGTCAGGATGGCCAGGTAACCTTTGTCATCGTTAACATCCACTTTGCGGAAAATGTCCTTGTGTTTGTTTCTATTTGGTCCTGTATAGACAGGCTGATCTCATCTCACAAAACTTGCAACCACAAACCAAACAAAATTACTTTCTATGACAAACAGAGCCGCAAAGATTGAATGCTGTCTCATTCTGAGAGTAAATTAACAAGACAAGAATATCCTTTCCATGAGGGCTTCACTTCATATTCTTGTGGTACCGAAAGTAAGTTGTGTAAGTGAACAAAGGGGGATCGCTTAGATAATAAGAATCACTACCCCCCAGCTCACGTTGAGTAAGGTAGTGAAGTACATCATGCTCTGTCCAGTTGCTGATATTTAAAGGAGGGACTGATGTTTCATTTGATGAAATGGAATTATTGTGCACTTGACATGTAAAGCAGAACTATAATATTTTTTTGTCAAGGACACAGTCCACGTTTTGCTAAAATTTAATAAATGCGTTTGCATCAAAGTGGGTGTAAGCTCTTACATATACCCACTGAAGTGAATGGCCTCAGGTGATAAACAGAGATAAAAAACAATCCTCCTACATAAATTGTACCTGTTTATCTTTAGCCCTCTCTCCTCTACATCTGTTCATAGTCATGGGCGGACTGACCATTTGGAAACTCGAGCACTGCCCGAGGGCCCGAGGTCAGTACGGGGCCCCATGAGATGCCCCTGGTACCTTTTTCATAGGCTTTTTTGAGTTTGGGCAAGGACACAGGGCCCCCATGATCCCCTATTGCCCGGGGGCCCCATGAGTTGTCAGTCTGCCCCTGTTCATAGTCCAGAATTTACACAGCATTTCTAAGCTTCCAGAGGTACAGGGCAGGGATCTGATGGCACATACTGCAAAGCATAGATCACCAAGCTGAATGTAATCTGAGATCTGAGTGGAGGGGAAGGGCACAACCCCCGCTACACATTCTCATAGAGAAACATGCATAGCTGAGACTGTCATTCACCTACTTGTGCTGGTGGGGGGACAGGGCTGTCTCCAGGGATTCTCTGGTGTCAGCATTGACTGTCAGAAGTGACTCATGCAGATAGCAGAGTATGGAGAGAGGAGACAGAAATCATACTAGGTGCTTTGGATAGAGGCAAGTACACACTAGAGAAGCCTATGTTTGAGTTTTACAACCACTTAATTAAAAGAAAAAAATGCATTTATTACATTTTTGGGCTCATGTACACTGAACATTTTATCTTTGCTGTTAGTGGTATCTAATGTAATTTTTTTTTTTTTTTTTTCTACCTCTAAATGCCCCTGCATGTTAACCTATGTGTCCATGTACACATAGGCGTTTAGATGCAGAAAAAACCCCACTCCAAGCGTGTCCAAGAGCAGCAGTGTTTTATTAGAAAAATGGCTTGATGTGTGTGAACGCTAGGCGCATTTAGCATTTGAGCAATAATTCATTTCACTGGCCACAATATATTATTAATATATGCGTTTAAAAGTTTTTTTTCTGCCACAACGTTGCTGCCAGGCGGAATTGCATCTAGAAGAGATGACCAAATGTCTAGTGTGCACAAGGCCTTTGCATTCAAGCCTGCAGAGCATTACAACCTCTGTCAGTGCATAGTGGGTGGAATGTACAGGTTTCTGCACTGTATACATCCCAGCCTCAGCTCTGTAGGGAAGTATGGATCTACTGTTATGGGGCTGGAGAAAATAATCAATAGACTAAAAGGGCGGTAACATCACCACACTTTATTGAAATCTGTTGACAAGTGTGATGAGGCATTGTATCACCTCCTCACTGACTATTGTAACCCCCTTATTGGTGATTGAATGGCTGAAAGTGACAGGGGGTACAGTTCCTTCCACAGTATGTGTACAACCCTGGCCACTGCCTGTGCAGCTAATAGGGAAGCGGTTGGGGGACAGTAAAAATGCAGTTCAACCATTGAGGTTTAGTGCAACTCAACCACAAATGTGAACAAGCCCTGAGGGGGAACTGTGGAAAGCATATGACCTCTGAACTGTGTAGCCAGCAGAGATCAAGCCAAGGGTTCATTAAGAAGCCAATGTCCAGCTGGGAACTTATTGAGAAAGCCACAAGAAATAGACTTGCAAATATGTACCATAGAGAAGAGGATTCTTAGCTGGGTGCTGCAGGCAGCCATTTTGTTCTGTGTTGGATATCTGGAAAATGATACTATTTTAAGTGATCCTGATTGTAGTGCAATTTAGGCAAGACTCACTGAATATTTCATACCTCAGCTCTCCCTAAGCCGCTTGCAGCTGTATCCGACCATTTCTGCTTTAGGATGCAAAGCCAATTCTAACAACATTCTCTCCAGGCAGAGGGTTTCATTGGATATCGTGTACTGGTTATGGTATATCTTAAATATGTCAACAGTTTATAAAGCCCTGTGTTCTGGTTTTTATGTATTGGCTGGTATTCCCATTCCAATATAACTGCGTGGATTTCATGTTGGTGGTAACATTTCTTTGTAATGCTCATGTTATTTCTGTACTGCTATGACATTGGTATATTAGTTTTTCATAATGGTCTTTAGAGTTAATTATTCTCAATGTGTGTGTATGTAAACTGTGGGTTTATATTGTAAGCACGTGCCTTTACCTACGTGTTAGGACATTGTCTATAGACATCTGCATACAAACTGTTCTAAAACCTCTTCCAGCTAGTTCAAACCAACATATGTTTAATTTATGTTCTGATCTCCCCCAAAACAGACAGACTACATGGCTACATTTGTACCCTCCTACATAGGATCCCTTCCTTTTGTAGCATGAGGATTATCCACTGCGTACTCTTCCCAGTTGTCTGATGTGAATCTGTTTCTGGGGTGTAGAGGGGTATTGCTCGAACACATGGGTTTTGTTAGCTCCCTCAGTGTTAGATTAAACTCTGGGAGACTTCTCAACACAATCAAATAAAACTGTTCTCAGTTACTCAGTTCACAAAACAATTAAACGTTTTCTTTGTTCCGAGTTAGTTCAGTTTCCAGTGCTACAGTGTAAAGACTCCATAAGTTCATATCGAGGACTCGCAGTTTTCGTACTCTGGCCCTCTGACGGTTTTTGGTGATGCACACTGAAACTTATTCATCAGAAATGGATTTGACCCAGAAGTTTATGGCTGAGCTGGAGGCTGCCTGTCTCTGTCTGAAGGGATTAATCTGATGACTAAATTCAGCTCTATGTTCTTTTCAGATGGGAAGTTGGTATTGAGCGTGAAGGCTTGGAATCTGGGTGTGCCAAGAACTGTGTTTATGCCTTAGGGACCTACAGGTGGCCTCCTGACACTTTTCAGTTTATTTATGGCTAAATTGCAGATTATAATTTGCTGTGATACTGCTGTTCCATCCATCTCTGCATCATGCCACCACCACAAGAATAACCTTAAAATCTGCTTTATAATCTGGTTGTTGTTTTTTTAACCTCTGGAATATTTTATTTGATTTTGTTTCTCTTTTCCGGTGTTGCTCTTTTGTTTTGTTTTTTCCTTAAAGCAGAACTCCACCCAAAAGGGGTGCCACATTTGGCATTTTTTTTGGAGGGGGGAGTAGGTAACTGTTTTTGAAAGATACCCATTCCAACATCTGGGTCATATCGCTGTGGTGATCTGAGCCAGAAGTTCAGCCAGCTCTCCTAACCACCGTAACCTTCTGGGACACTTCACAGTTCACAGAAGACAGCGGCCCATTCACAATGCGCAGCACACTTCATGCATGCACAGTAGGAAACTGGCCTTGAAGCTGCAAGGCTTCACTTCTTCTTTCCCTTACTGAAGATGCCAACGCCAGCCCCCAAAGCTGATTGAAGAATCAGCTCGGGTGAGGACATGGCTGCACCCCCAGGACTGGTAAGTGTCCTTATATTAAATGTCAGCAGCTACAGTGTTTGTAGTATTTATTGATTTTTTGGGGGAGGAGCCCAGAGCTCCGCTTTAAAGTGTCCCTAAAGGCAAAATTTTATTTTAGCTTTAGACAAAGTGGAGAGGAATTAGAACATTTGTCTGTTTTTATTGTCGTCTGTGCCCTTGTTCGGGAGATTCACCGTCTCTATCTGCCCTGTTTAATGCTATCATCAAAAGGAAAGTAAAGAAAACCCCAAATTTTGGGTTGATATCAGAACAGGAATAGAGGGGAAATCTTCCAATGGGGACACTAATTTTGTTGACCCTTGTGACACCATGGGATTCACTCACTTTGGAGGAATTTCCTCTCACTTCCTGGTTTGGCTACAGGATGGGAAGTGAAGGTAAATCTCCCCCACTGCTCCAAAACATTATCAAATGAATCCTTTAAAGGCTTTCAATAAATGAGAACTCCAAGTCAAACATGTTGTGGGAACTGGGAGTTGTAAGTCCTATGTGTATGCATTTCAGTGGAGGAATCGCTATATATAAAGGCCAAAAAACAGAAGATTCTCTGTTAATCTTGTCACTGACATACAGTAAGACATGTATGAAGATAGAAAATCTTTTGATCCAGGGGATTTATGTGCTGGATATGCTTGAACAAAGACAAAAATGAAGG